TTTTTTTTTTTTTTTTTTTTTTTTTTGTATCAAACTCGAGGACAAACAGCGGGAAGAGATAAGTTCACCGAGGATCGATGAAATTGGTAGCAATTCTTTCACGTTCCATCCCGAAGTCTCGAGAAGGAACTAAATATAACGAATTTACCAGCAATACCATTAGCTTTATCAGCCGGCTCGTGCCAGACCTATTTCATCGAGCTAAGATCTCGGTTTCACCCTTCTTCATCCCCGCACAGGATATCGAGGGTTGCCGAGAACCGAACTGACCTGAAATGGCCAGCGAACGATATAAGGATACGAATGGATTCGACCTACGTGTATTTGCGATTCGTGTTTGTACGCGGCGAATTTCCGAATTTCCGTCACTTTGTGTATGTTAATTACACGGAAGAAAACTCGAGAATTCGAAATCGATGCAAGTATGCTCAAATTACTCTGCTTCGAACTTTGTGAATATTCGATCGAAAGATATTTTCATGCGAAGACAATATAATTTTGTATACTAAACAAAATATCCTATCGAAATTCCTATCGTTTTCAGACATCAAAAAGTTTCGATAAATATATTATTCAACGAGAGCAAGTTAGAAGATTTTTTTTTTTCCTTTTCTTTTCGATTCAAAAATTATTCTACGAAAAAACGATACTAATCTAACTCACCCGATTTCACTCGAAATCGCGATTCATTTTCTACTACTAAATTTATATAATATAATTTTATCAAACGCGAAAGAAGATTTTACGATTTTACATTACGATTAGCGAAAGAACTTTTTAAAAAATTCCGATCCACGAGAACAACGGAAATTTAGAGAGAAACGTGAGAAAAGAAAAGAATCCACTATGATTTTAACAAATAATACTATTCCGCAATTTCAGAATGGATTAAAAGGGAACACGATCTCTGATACAGAACTTAAATATTTTGCAAAGCTCGATTTATCCATTTCACCACAGCACACGTTTTCGATATTGTCTATTTGCAATCCCAGGATCGTATACACGAGCATACTGCCGCTCGTGCAGTTTCTACGTGTATCTGGTCGCGATGTGTGCCCGATCGTATCGCCGTATGTGGGTCAGACACACAAGGGAGGCGAACTCTGAACCAGTGCGAGGCAGGAAACTCTACATTCGGAACCGGACGAGACTTTCAACGAAAGAGAAGGTTGAAAAAGAGAGAGACCGGTTTGGGATGAATCAAGAGAAGGCCGGAGATAGTGGCTCGACTCTGATATCTCAAATCCATTTCTGGCTCGTGCCACGAACCGTGGACATAACCGTCGACCTCGACGATCTTCCATATTTTTTTTTTACCGCTCTGCTTCTATTTTAACCGTAGCTCCCATCTCGCGCGCAAAACCAGACGACACTTTCCAGAAATGTCAACCGAGAAACTAAAACCTTCATCCTATTTCAACCTAGTTTTCCCGTCGAATTTACGCGCAAATCGCGAAACGAGATCAGAGAAAAGTTATATTTTTACGGAATTACGATTTCGATCGCGTTGATATCGATATATTTTTGTCGAAAATTTATCAGAGCTTATATATATATTTAAATCGATAGACAATTACGAGACTTGGAACGTCGAGTTTTTACGCTCGACGTGATTACGTGAATCGTAAATTTGAAATTAAATTTTCGAAATAAAATTTTTAACAACGCTTTAAGATCCTATTTTATTAAAGAAAGACAATCATGATGTTTTATTAGTCCTCCTTAGTTTTATTGTCGCTGAAATAACCTATTTAATTTTTACGACGATCCAGATACGTCTTTTTCCTCCCTCTCCTTAATCTAGCTAATGTTACAGCGTCCTATCTTCCGTTTGATTAAATCCTAACAACATTTCTACGCCATGAAAAATAGTTTCGATGGTAACGATGGAAAATTAGATGCCGAATAGAAAAAGAAAAAAAAAAACAAAATTAACGAAATAATTCCTATTCGCATCCCTAACGAAACGCGGTTGGATGATCAAAACGTCACGGATTCATAAAGAGAAGCACGGGAAATATATAACACTTTGAACCGCACGCGAACACTCGAAAATAAAACGGCTATAAACCGCGCGAGTGCCAGACAACTATTTTCCCCCCTCGCATAATACCTTCGAAACCAGCTGCACTCTCGTTTCCTGTGTCAATTTTATACCCGGAATGGTACGTAACCGTGTTACGGTAAGGAAGGGAAAAAGGCAAATCGTAGCCATTATTACCAATTACCGAACCGTTAATTCTATTTACGTTATCGCCAGAACGTGGAACGATTTCGGTGCCCGACTGGCAACGGATCATAAATCAAACCCAAGTACCATTATCTGTCTCATACACCGTGGCCCGATGAATCGCGACGGCTATTATCGGGTGGCGATAGAAGCCCGGAGAAGTTCGCACAATAACGCGTAATGGTCCGCGCAGTCTCGCCAAGGGTCGATAAAGGCTAATTAGCAGAAATCCTCGTCTCAGGTGGTCCTCCTACCGATTCGTAATCACTTAACAGGCGCGACGAGAGGGGCGTCTCGAGAGTATTCCGCAAGTACAGCGGGGACGGGAGTCGGATTTAACGCGGCCACCGATTTAACTGCCAAAATTCTGATTGGACCACGATAGCCCACGTATTTGCCAGCGATTCAATCGTGAGACGAATATCGAGAGAATCGCGATAAAATGAGAAGCGATTTCATATATTACGATTGCGATTGATGTATTTTAAGTAAGTAGTTTCTTGTTGCATTTGTCAGAGGCGGATTTATTTAATATATATTATATTATTTAGTATATATTTATTTATTAAATTTAGTTGATAAGAAAAAAACTATAAAAAAGAAAATCTACGGTCCAATCTTTAATTTTTTGCATTCCTGAGGCTAGTTATATATAGAAAACTTGTAAGAAAAAAATACTTTGGAATTGATTAACAAGCTTGGAATGCAAAAAATTAATTCATTAATTCAGAAATTATAGACTTTTGTCATTAAGAGATATCTAAACTAATCTTAATATCTAAGTAATCTTAATATCTAAATATCTGTATTATTTCTAATAAATATAATTCGTCGACTATTTTTCATTTCTTATTTTATCGATGAAATACACAAGTTAAACGACACATAATATCGAAGCAATAAAACTAGATGCAAACGCATCGAAACGCTGAAACAATAAAACGTCGCGAATCGAACGCGAAATGCTAGCTATTCATCCATTCCCCACTATAACCTCGTCAAATTTTGCGTTTAGGCCGAATTAGAGAAGTAAGCAAAACGCTGAATCGTATCGATATGATACTCGTATCGATCGAGTATCGTTCGATATCCGACACGCATACCGAAAATAATAATGATTCGTACAGTTTCGCGACAATGATTACTGGCAGTCCACCTGCACTGTGACGAGAAAACCGAGCAAGCAACACGCTCGATGATTTCGACTGCGAGCAAGTTCTGACACGCGACAAACCGTCGGTGATATACGATTTCGATGTCGAATGTTTGTCACCGTAAGCTTCGCGGTTATGTACGGTCGTGATTTACGTGCACCATCATTAATCAGAATCATTTGATATGTGTACTCACCGGGCCGAACTGCTCGAAGTAGTTTTTCACGTCCTCCAGCGTCGTCGGTGCCGATAGTCCACCGACGAATATCTTCTTTGTCCTTGTCACCATCTGTAACAAGAAAAAAGGTATTGCGTATTAGTCATCGATTCGATAATTGCGACGAACATATGCTGTCGTTATAATAGTACATAAATATAAACAATTCTCTGGCGTGTGAACGTATGTTAATGACACAACGCAAAATATACGGAAAAAATTCGACGAAATTCGCAGAAACGTATGTTTTGGTTAATATACGACGTAAATTATAACGGTTTTTATGTTGTAATAAAAATAATACGCAGTTGCTTACCATGGTAAAAATTGTTCGAAACGCGAACAAGACTCTACGATCATCATGATTCGAATAATATTACGGACACTGATCGATATTCACACATTTATTTCATTCGCACTATTAAATTTATGCACTTTTTAACTTTAAAAACTAAGAATGCGAGCAGATTGTTAACGAGTGTCTTGACGCACGACGCGAACTACTTTTAATGGCGGTTGCGCGGGAGTATGCGCGCGCAGCAAAATTGCTAATTAATACTATTCTTACGTACAAGGTGGCGCATGAGTATCAATTTTAAATCTAATATATAAAAGAATCATATATACTACGTATATATGATTGTAAAAAATCATAAAACGTATAACGAATGAAATAAAATAGAAATTTTATACGTATTTATTATATCGCACGATACGTAATACGTTCCGAACGCGTCGAAAGTTAAAGTCGTACTGAATATTATTTCTCTCCTTCCTATACCGCCGCTATTGTTTTGAATTTAGTCGAAGCTATCGTGTTATGTATATATACGTAATATATACATTGTTTTCCTTATAATTCTCCTTTTCCATTTCAATTATATTATTTAATATTATTAAAAATTATTTAAATAATTAATAATTAATAATTTTTAAATATATATTA